TTTTAAGCTCAAAATGTAAGACTTAAGACATTTTTTAAGACCTGCATAAATAAAATATCATATGAGCGCAGTAGGACAATGACTATGGTAACATATTAAACTGTAAAATGACTGTAAAAAGCATGACTTACAGGTTTTCACAAAACAAAGTTTTATATAAATTTTTAAGTAAATGGACGAGTTGTTAATTTAAACAATTATTATTAATCAATTATTACATTAATTAAATAAAAATATAAATATAACTTGTCTTAATTGTTTCGATTTTTATAATGCATTATCTTCTTGTCGATCCACCTGTTCACATTTACAACTCCGTGTTTGCAGCGTCAAAACATTGGTTAATTTTCACATTTGGTAAATTTTCTGTCATTGGTCAACATTTTGATTGCTTCCATTGTCCTCATTTGTAAGTCGCTTTGGATAAAAGCATCTGCTAAATGACTAAATGTAAATGTAAAATAGTACAAACTTTGCTAAAGCAATTTTAGCAAAATTGTTGTATCCTACTTATTAAATTTGTAAAAAAAATTAAATAAATGCATATCAATAGAAAGTCTTCAAACTTGCATTTAAAAATATGACCACTGTTTTATCATATATCTATTTTGTACGTCATTTCCTGGTTTGTGACCCAAAGTGGAGGCGCAGGTTAACAAGAATGTTCCAGTTTTCAAAACAAGTTAAGCTATTGTGACAGCATCTGTCAAGTGCTGCTGCAACTAAATTTAATTTCAACTCATTTCTAAGTGTCAATATATCAACTGGAAACATATTTAATGCACTTACAATAGTAATCCATGCATGGGTCAAGACATTCTGGAGGGTTTAAAAGCAGATATTTATAGCTCACATTTTGGTAATAATAATAATAATAATTATTATTATTATTATAATTCAAAGTCAGGCTTGATTAATTCTGTGAGTGAAAATGTTCAATAACAATAAAGTAATATTGGGCTGGTCACACCTGAGGTGACCTTTAAATCTAAAAAAAATCCTTCAGTAGTTCTTTTACAGTAAGTTGTAATGGACAATCACGGTCAGGAATGATCAATGCAATGCTCACATTATTCCTTCCTGTGCCTGCCAGGCTGCTGTTTGAGGCGAGAAACCAGAAAAAAGAGGCCAAAGAGATGGCGGTAATCCAGGCCATGAAGCGACGAGAAGAAGACAAGGCTAAAGAGAGAGCGCAGGCTGTGCTGTAGGGAAGAAGAAAAAAACAACATCAAAGACTAACAAAACCCAGTACATGCAGTTGACTCTTTTCTAATGTGTCCACATTCTGGACTTACATACTGTCAGAACACCAGTAGCTGAGAGCTCCTTTTATTGAAGAATTAGCATGTGTTGTCTTGGGAGCATCTGCTTTTGTGAATCACTCTCGCACTCTCCACCTGAAGGACCTCTTCATCATTTCCTGACAGCAGTGGGCCATTTCCATCAGATCTATTCACTAAGGAAAGAAGGAGGCTGGAACTTGTGCTGCACTTTGCTGTGTGCAGGATGTTGCCACTTTGGTGACCAACATGACCTACGTGACCTTTACCTTCACATGTAACTCCAGAGTTATTCTAAGCTTTGCTTGGAAACCAACACTCCTGAATATTTGAATCCATCAGAAGAGCACTACAGTCTTCTGTCCTAAAACAGTGTATTAATTATAAAGAATTAATATTTATCTGTCATTATTAATGGCTAATCCTCATATGAAGTATTTTTCATTGTAATGTACAACAAAGTGAATTGTTCTATTAAAAAATATATGAAAAAAATAGTTAAGATATGGTGTTCATAAAACATGCATTTTAATATGGCATACTTTATTGGCATACTTTAATATGGTACTTTATTTTCCCAAACTTCTTCTGTTAAACAAGAGTTTTGTGTGAGCAAACAGCATGAAATGTCAGTCTTATTTACTGATAATTTTTACTGCCACAGTTCTCAAAATTAATTTGTGGACAAATGAATTTAAACTTGCCATTTCACTAGTGGACATGCTAACCAGTTGTCAGGTGCAACACATGAAAATGTAATGTTCACTATTCACTTTTGTTTTTGGGAAAATAGCACTTCACACTGTGCATAACATCTCCTTCTGTAATTCACGGAAGAATTGAAATATTGGCTTAGAAGTACATACAAAATTTTATTTTGTGGTGAAATATTCCTTTAAACTAAGATGTTTAAAGTTTCTGTTTTAAATAGATTTAAAATTAAATTATACTAGCTCTTATTTTATTTAGAATGATTTTAGAAGACAATTTCAGATCAGCATGTTAAGCTGGGCCACATTATACATGAGGACAGGCATACACTCCTTTACAGTCTGCATATATAGATAGTTTTGAGTTTGTTTCTTATGTACGTGTGTATGCCATACCCAGAACTTGTGCAGAATGAGCTATCAATTATAGCCACAAGAGGTCTTCTTATCTGTGGAAATCTGTGTAAAATTCATAGAAACCACAATGGACTGAAACCAACTAACCCTGTTTTGATGTGCTGTGATATATAATGTGTATAATTATAAGCAATGTTTTAAACAAGAAACCTCAATCATGGTACTAACTACTGTCTAAATATAATGGTTTCAGGGATTATAGTATTTTAAGATACTAAAACATTGACATTGAACTGACTTACATTGTTTTTTTCATGTATTATTTTTTAATTATATTAAAAATATAAAATATAAAAGGTTGTTATTTTTTTAAATAGTATAACCCTCTTTTTTCTAACAGTCTCAAATTAGTCAACTTGAAAGATACTGGAACTTCATTTTTAATTGAACAATTATTAAAGGTGCTGTCTGGTTTTAGGAAATCAAATGAAAAGTTTTTTTTTTTATTCCTGATAACAATACAGGAATAAATAATATGGGATCATAATAATTAATGATCCCATGTTATTTATTCCTGTATTGTTATATCAGACAGATTTGTGTTCTTCAAGGGCATGCTTGTATGTTTTTGTTTTTTTTGTCCTTGCAAATATAATACTGTGAAATACAAAACATTTTCATAATTGTTCACATATATCACCCTCATCAATAACCACATCATGGTGTATTACTTTTTATTTGTTTGCAAAAATTCAAATGCTAATCATTTGGATAGGTAAAACACTGCAGATTTTTAATCTCCTTGTCTAGTTTTATAGGATTAAATTAAGATTTATACGAATAAATCCACACACAAAATGCAAAGAAATAAAAAAAATATCTAAATATCTAAGAGATCACGTCTGCCTGAATAAATATTTAACTATTTATAGTCTATTTTTTTGACCATTTGGATAAATATAGCCTAACAAAGGAAGCAAATTCTAGGACTGTTTATTATTATTTTTTAAAGCAATGCACTCTGTTAATTGTTTTATTGTAAGGTCTTGCGTCACCAATTAGCGGGCACATTTAATTATAAAGTCCCTATTATGTCCTATGACGTCACGTCCCTGAACCGCATATTGAACAGGTGTGTTGCGCGAGGGCTACCGCAAATATCGCGCGTTTTAAATACGATTTTAACTAGCCTATATAATAGTTTTAGAAATGTTTCGATGTTTTGACGTTTTAACATCCCTGCAGGTGAGTTAAATATAAATGTGTACTTAAAAAGACAATGCTGACTTGAAGTAGTTAATTCATATAATGTTGTCGTTTGATCTCGTGGAGGCATGTATCGCGGCTGTGCAGACGTGCGTGAATCTGCGAAATGAAGAGAAAAGATCCTGCAATCAGCAGCATGCTCGAATTGAGCGTGAGACGCACGTGCACAGAGTCCTCATACTGGGTAACTCTTGAGTTGAGAGTTCTACACCGTTCTTGTTTTGCCATAGAAACGGTGGAAAATAAATCTATGATAATGACTCTGTTTATTTATCGAATTCCTGAATGTAATACGCATTCCTTTTAAAACACCATTGAAATCTAGCATTGTATTTGTAGTTTCATCTCTGATTTCTGCAATAGAAACTTCTCCTATTTAATACTGCTGTGCAATATTTTATTCCAAACATATAGGTACTCCAGAGAGCGGCAAAAGCACATTAATCAAACAGATGAAGATCATCTACAGCCATGGCTTTACAAAACAAGAACTCATCAGCTTCAAGGTGCAGCATTGACTTATTTAATATGGGTTTTTGTCAGGCTTACTGCATTAGTTCTCGACATTAGAACTACATGAAGTGTTGGGGGAAGTTACTTTTAAAAGTAATGCATTACAATATTGCATTAATTTCCTCCCTTTAAAAGTAACTTATTATGTTATTCTTTTACGTTACATTCATTTTGTGTTAACTTTTCTCACCTGGGCTGCACTTGCTAACAAAAAATTTATAACAATAACACTTATTTTAGCGGTAATTAAAAAAAAAAAGTCACACAAATGATGTTTTTTGCTTATTCGTATGGTTGAAATGAACCATGAAAGGTCAGCAGTGAGATGTTTGTGGAATATTCCGAGTTTGCATTTCACTGATTTCGTTCATTTCTAGGAATACTGAATAATGTAAATCATGTTCACATTTAGTCTAGAACTTTTACTCGGCACACAAAGCCTCTGCACCTTATTTCTCTCAACATGGAAACAAGAGAGGTCTCAGTCAAGAAATTGGGAAACAAAGTAACTTGCATTATTTATTTGAAAGAGATTTTCAGATATTTTGTTGTGAATTTAGTTATGCGTTAGTTAGTTAAAAAAAGTAATCTGATTACGCCATTTAAGTTACTTGTAATATGTTACCCCCAACACTGCACAGAAGTCCTTTTGTTCCAAAGTATTACATATTTCTTGTAAGGATACAAGTAAAAACATACACTGCATCATTTGTTGTCTTGAAGCAGCAGATTCAAGTATTAGTACTTAAGTATTAGGTACGATACAATACTTGTAGATGCAATATGAAGATACTTTAATATTTCATTGTCAGGCATTTCTTTCTGTAAGAGAAAGTTAGACAGTCACCTTAAAAAAAATCTAAATAAAACTCTATAGTACTAAATATGAGGTTAAATGGTGTATAGTATGTTTCAGAATGAGCTTTATAAGGTGTGCACAAGCAAAATCCTTTAACTCATTGTTCAGTGTTCTCATTAAACCCTTAAAACTTGCTGATAATATGAGTGGGGCTGCTCTATGTACCTTTTTCTTGGAAGATATGTAAACATCAAATAACAGCACTGGCTGCAACATGAATTTATATTTATACTACACCACATGTCATTCTTTATTGCCCTATAGTAAAGCTCACATTATACATCCATAAAAAAATTAAAATGACATACAGGTTAGAAAGAACAGCTGTGTTTTGAGCTGTTCTTCTTCAGCTGTATTTTGATTCACTTCATATTTAAAGGAAAAAACAGTTGTTTTAAATGAGTAACAATGAACACAGTGAATTAATGAGAAATACAGTAACTTTAAGCTAATTGTGTCTAAATCACAAAGTAAATGCATCTAATTAAAGACAGAAAATACACACAATCTTTAAACATTAACCATTCATAATACAATAAATCCATGTTTAACAGCCATGTTTTGTGCTTTACTGAAAAGTGTCATGGCTTGTACGATATGAATTATAAACAGTATTGGGCTATGCTGTAAGTTACAGTGCTACAACATTAGTGCATCACTATTAGCACACTGCATGTTTTGCTATTCTCCAAATGGTTAATGTGTTTAATTATTTGGTTTCTTCTAAATGTACAGCCTGCTGTGTTGGATAACCTGCTGACAAATATGAAGTTTGTGCTGCATGGCATGGGAATGCTGCGCATTAATTTGTCAAACAAGAAAAACAAGGTGAGTTATGCAGACTATTCTATCCTGTTCATTATGATGTGCATGGCAGTTCCATTATACCCAAATTGGGATTAATTGCGAAAAGACCTCTTTCTGTTTTCTGTCTCAAAACTAAACAGGATTACAGTGACATTAAAACAAATTTCTGTACATGCACACGACACCAAATTGGCTTATTTGTATCTCACCTCTACACTGTATATCTATACCTAAAAACTTTCTAACCTCTAATATTATGCATAATATCTTGGGAAAATATTGTGTAGTTATAATATAGAATATTATAAAAACAAACAGCTAGGTAGGTAGGACCAGGTATGTGCTGTGACCTTTGAGACCGAGCAAGAGTTTTAATACACATTATAATGTGCCCAAAACAAACTTTATGGGTGAAT